AAAATGTTTACCCTGGAGAAACCTCACTTTTGAGGAGTCAAAGTCATTCAGTGACTTAGCTAAGGACAACAAAAACTTTATTGTCTCTAGGTACGTGTCAAGTACCAAACCTGATGCTAGACCTTGAGTCATGAAACATAACTGCAATTTTTGAGTCAGCTGACACTCGACAGTGCCAAGAATCTTACTTCCTTTGTTCTTCTGCAGGGACCTTGTCCAGCATCCCCACAGCCTTGACTCGCTGGACAGAGGAGTGCAAAGTTCTTGATGCTGAGAGCATGCACGACTGTGTTTCAGGTGTGTGGCAGCTTGGTTATCAATGCAGGAGCTCCTGGGGCTAGGATAAGCACATGATCGTTGTTTTTTTCTGCTGCTCTGTGGCCACAAGCACTTGCCTCTTAGCTTCTTCCCCAACCTTGCCAGAGCAGCCTCTGATCTTTACCTCTTCTACAGTGGTGAAAGTGCCTATTGTCAACCACCTGGAATTCCTGAGGGATGAAGAACTGGAAGAAAGGCGGGAAAAACGCAGGAAACAACTGGCTGAGGAAGAAACAAAGATAACTGACAAAAGCAAAGAAGATAAGGAGAACAGGGATCAGAGTGCACAGGTAATTCTTAAGGACTAAGAAGATTCATCTTGGGCTGTATCTGCCTTAAATATCATGTGGTTTTGCCATATACAGGACCTCAAGAGTCACTGAAGAATCCTAGAATGTTTACATTGAATCTGAGATTATTCATTCCAAAGTTGACATACATTTATCTGGTTTTTAGGGTAATGAATTCAAACCTATAGGGAAAATTATTTCTGTAGTGTCTCACTGGGGAAAGCTAGAGCTAAAACCAGAATGATTCCATATTTAACAGTCACACTACATAGTCCTTGCCTTTGAGGACTATTGCTAGACAAGGTCAAGGATGACTTTGACTAAGCCCAGGCTCTTGGTTGATTTCATTTCTTTCAGTGAACTGCAGTGTGGGTAACTTACCGGGATGACTCAATTCTGTCATTTGAATAAGCTCAGTTTAGGCATTTAGATCAGAGAAAATGTTTGTACCCTGAGCCCCATCATTACAGATTATTGTCTAGGGCTCAGATTTACAAGATATTTAACATGATTTGGGTTACAAAGAAGCTACCTACCTCTTCCTGAAACTTCTAGGTGACTGTTACAGGTAGTTTTAATCTCATGTGTTTGGGAAGTCCCACATTGGTCTGTCCCTTCTCTTTGCAGTGTACTGCACCTAAGGCAAATGACTCTGCTGAACAGAACCTCACAGGTAACTCTCCCTCCCTTTCTCCCCCTTATTGCTAATTGATAAGTTCATTTATTCTCCTCTCCAAGTACCTGGCCCACATGAGCTGAAGATGGATGCTGGTGCTCTGTGGGATGAGGTAGTAGATTGTATAGTTTTAGGGTCATACCCCATCTTGGAGATAACTATACAGTCTACTGTCTTTCCCACGGTGGTACACTCCCCCTCCAATTAGCTCTGCTCAGGCTCTTGTTTTGGTTGTATTGTCCATCATTCTGGTATATGGAACAAGTTCATGTGTCCTATTCCTTTCTGAACTGCAGCTCTGTTCGCCAAAACTAAGCACATTCATCATTGAGGTGATTGGTCCTCTGGTAATCACCGTGATGTGGTACTTTGTGAGAATACACGATGAAAATAGTTCTCAAAAGCCGATCCTTAGTGGGAATGAACAAAAGTTAGGTTTAATGCATTCTTTAAGCTGAACTAGTCCATTTAAAAGACTGTTTTTATATTTAGAGATTATGTTGTTCTTAGTACTTAGGTATCAAAATATCTTTATTAAATTATTTTGATGGGTTTTTTAATCTAAATTCAATTACTGCTCCATGGAATCTTAAAAATCTAGGAACATTGTCTTGGATAATCTGCTTTAGTGGAAGGTAGCTCTCTGTGGACCAAATGGTATGACTATTTTATGCTTTCTATTTCTTCTAATCTTAATAATGGTCTGTAACCATCTTTTTATTCTAACAACTAGCCCACGTAGTATCATGTCTCTCCTACCTGTTTCCTCAGAACTTTCTTCAACTTCCCTATGCTTTGTTTCCTTTGGCCCTTGAATTGGGAAATGACTATACCAAAGACTACACAATATTTTTTAAAGTAGTGAAGGAGTGTAGGTGTCCTTATACCCTTAATTTAGCAAAAGGCATTTGAAAGGGTCTGCTACCAGGTAAAATGGCTTCTTTTTTTAACTTAGTGAGGGAGAAAGGGAGGGAGAGAAAATAGAGAAAGGGTAAAAGATTTTTGACAAGATCCTGCCCAACTTCATTATTCTCCTGCTCCAGCCTCCCAGTTAACCAGGACCACAGGTGCACACCACCATGCCAAACCTGTTTATTTTAGGCTAAGAATCAAACCTAGGCCTCTCATGCAGCCTCAGCCAAGAAACAACAGCACCCTCCCACTTATGTTACTATAGCTGGGCCTAAAATGGCTTTTTGCCTACTGTCCTTAAAAGAGAATTCTGCTCATGCTGGGGTGAGGTAGTAAGTTGTATTGTTGTGGGGTTGGGATTGTAGACCCCAATTAGAAGATAACTATACAACTTACTACTTTCCCTGGTGTGTGGCATATTCACATTTATTCTTGGCTGCATTGCCTCCGTCAGACAAAATTGTTAGATGCTCCTTGGATAATCAGGACTAGAAGAAAAGAGGTGGAAGTTGATGGGTGATATATAGAGTGAAGCAGATGAAATTATAAAGTGACTTGTCTTTCCTTGATTGGAGCATGGAAACAAACTAGAGCATTTTGCTATTTGACTAATTATTTATTTTAGTCATTATTAGAGCAAGAATATGCATAAGGGAATGGATAACTATATTGTACCTAAAGAATTTGGGGTGGGGGGACCAGCCTGTGGCCCAGTGGTTAAGAGTTTTGATGGAAATTCTGACCAATTCATACTCCAAATAGATAAGGAAATGGGAGGATCTGTAGTCCTTTGGTAAATAGATTTCTGTGTACCTACAGAAACATTTGGCCTCACCCTATCTGTGTTGCCTGGTGTCTTCCCCTTCCACTGAGGCACAGAAAGGATTTTATTCTTAGGATACACAGAGTGATTATTTCCGGTTCTTGGGATAAAGATGGAACTGTGCCTTAACCCTCTTCCTGGGTATACCAAATCAGCCAAGAGCTATTCCTTGGAGCAGGTAGTTATGGGAGGGAATCCTACATCACTGGTGGAATGTGATACTTGTCAAGCTGTATGTGCTGATTGAACAGCTCCCTTGGTCATTGGCTGATTGTACCATTTTGGGACATTTTTGTTCCCATTTCTGTTCTTTCCGAGAAAGATGGGACTGCTATGCCTGACAGCTACCCAACAACCCCATCTTCAACTGAGGCAGCTACATCCGAGCCCAAGGAGACCCTCACTACTCTGCAACCCTCTCAGCAGCAGCCAACACTCCCACCCCCGCCAACTTTGGGAACAGTTCCTCAGGAGCTACAGTCCACAGCTGGAGAAGGGGGAAGCTCTACACAGCTATTGATGCCTGTAGAGACAGAGGAATTGGGTCCTACAAGGCCAAGTGGAGAAGTAGAAACAACTCAGATGGAGCTATCCCCAGCTCCTACTATAAGTGAGTAGAATTTCAATGTAAAGTCTAAGTTCCTTCTCTGTATCTTTAAGTGATTATAGTTGAGTATCTAATGATAGTATTAGTGATACTGACCATTTATTAAGATAGTTCCTTTGGTCCGGGGCTATCATGCCAGGTTTATCATTTTAATTCCTTAAAAACAACTCTTCAAAGTAGATGGTGTTAACCTCTGCGAATAAACTGAAACTTAGAAATGAAATAATTAGCCTAAGGTCACTCAGTAAATTCCTGAGCTGGGATTAAGATCCAGATCTGTCTTGTTTCCTGAAAATTATTTGTTGACTGTAACACATATGATGATGTGCTTGATTGAGCCAATATACAGTGTATTCTGGATGGGAAATCTCATTTTGTATGTTATAATGATGTATAGTGAAAGAATGTAAACAAATACATTTAAATTAAAAAAAAAAAAAAAGATCCAAATCTGTCAAGCTTTCTCTTCCAGAGTTCCAGGGAGAGCAGGCACATGGCCCTATACATATTGCTCTTCCAGCCTCCTTATAAGACACCGTTTTTCTCATAGCATTGTTTTCCCACCAGTCGCAAGATTAGTCTTGATGTAGTATTCTGACAGGATAAACTGAAACCTGCTCTCCATCCCTGTTCTGTACCATACTATATATGGTTTGCTCTGGAGAATCCTTAAAGTTTCCATTTGGGGCGGGGGCGGGGTTTCCTTCAGTGAACCTTGCTTATTTAGATAACCTTCCATATACAGCTGGTGCCTACAAAGGAGTGTGAAAGTGACCAGATCTCTTACCCGGAGTGCATAGGGAAGTTGTTCCATCGGCATGCCAGAACACAATAAATGTTCAACAGAAAAGGCTTGAGCTAAGCCTTAAAAAGCAGATGAAGGGGCTGGACTCCCACATGGCAGACCATGGCTTAGATCTTGGACCTGGCAGCTTGCTTTCTCCCTCCCTCTCTCTCGTCAAATTAATAATAATAACAACAAATAAAAATAAGTAATGCTTAAAATCGGTGGAAGTAGATGAGGGATCAGCAGGTTGTGTGGTGATTCAGGAGCTGGACTGCCACATGGCTGACCATGTTTTGAGTCCTGGACCTGGTAGTTTGCTCTCTCTCTCTCTTTCTCATCAGCGCACGTGCCCTGTAGCAAATTAAAAAGAAATGATCATGATGATAACTAAAGTTAAATAAATGATTCTTTTTTTAAAAAAAAAAAAGGCAGATGAGTTTGAAGGGGAGCACCAGACCAGCAGAGGGTGACGATTGAGAAGCGAGAAGTTTTAAGATAACTACCTCTAAGGAAGCACTTGTATCAAAGACCTTGCCTGCATTGTTGCCACAGTTCCAGGTAGATCTAACCTCTTCTTATTTCTTCTTAGCCTCTCTTTCCCCAGAGAGAGCTGAAGATTCTGATGCACTGACAGCTGTCAGCAGCCAGCTGGAAGGCTCTCCCATGGACACCAGCAGCCTGGCTTCCTGTACTCTAGAGGAGACTGTGGGTGACACTTCAGCAGCTGGCAGTTCTGAGCAACCCACAGCAGGCAGCTCCACTCCTGGGGATGCCCCGCTAGTTGCAGCAGAAGTTCAGAGCAGAGGTGATGGTTCAGGGGAGCCTACCCAGCCACCTGAGGACAGGTAAACACAATGTGGGCAAGAGAAGGGCAGGATGTGTTAGGAACTGTTTAAAGCCACATTCATGCTCATTAACTAATGGACTTGCATGCTACACTGGGGAAACTGGCCTGATTTCCACAAGAAAGGGGTATTGTAGGAATGTTTTCTAAATGGGAAGGTGTAATACAGAGAGCAACCTGAGAATGATTTCCCTCAGCTCTCCTCCTGCGTCCTCTGAGAGTTCTTCCACCAGAGATTCTGCCGTAGCCATTTCTGGAGCAGATTCCCGGGGAATCCTAGAAGAGCCACTGCCTTCGACAAGCAGCGAAGAAGAAGATCCCCTTGCAGGTGAGTTCCTCAGATACTCTGGCCATCCTGGGCTTGTTCTGGCTTCTAGTTGCCCTTGACATAGAAATACCCACCAGTCACACAGCTCTATCAAGGTGGAGGACATGTATGTGGGAGAGCTGGCTGTAAGGAATACTAATGACATGTAATGGACTGAGCCTGGGATTCAAAATCCCCCACTGCTGCTTTTTTTTTTTTTTCTTTTCCGGAGGGCTTTTTGCTATAGGGCATGTGTGCTCACTGGAGAGACAGAGAGAAAGTGAGAAACACATCCTGGGGCAGTGGCCACACCCCATCTATTCTCCTGTCAGGATTTTGGGCACGCATGTGCACACGCCCAGCATGAGTTTCAAACCTCCAGGTCTGGGACTCAAACCACAGTCAGCCATGTGGGATTGTAGCACCTTAAGCACTCTGCCACCTGCTGGTCCTGCCTCTTCTGGTTGTAAGACTTAGGGCTTTTACTTCATTTCTCTGATCTTCATTGATAATGGGGGTTGGGAAGAGGTAGTACTAATGTCTACATAGTGGGATCTTTATGAAGGTTATATGACAGTGTACAGGAAGAACTTGGTCTTCTCTGTGTGTCCTCTGTTCTTTGCAAGCACTGAAGACATACAGAGCTAGTTTCTGCCAAGCAAGTAACAAGTCTCTTTTCTCCAAGTACATCTTGGATATCAGTAAAGGTGTGGGTCCCTTTACATCTTAAATATCCCCCTCAGGTATCAGTCTCCCAGAAGGTGTGGACCCCTCTTTTCTGGCTGCCCTGCCTGATGACATCCGCCGGGAAGTCCTACAGAACCAGCTGGGCATCCGTCCCCCAACCCGGACTGCCCCTTCCACAAATAGCTCAGCTCCTGCAGTGGTGGGGAATCCTGGTGTGACCGAAGTGAGCCCTGAGTTCCTGGCCGCCCTACCTCCAGCCATTCAGGAGGAAGTATGTGAGCCAGAAGATGGTGGGGCCTGGCTGCCTGGCTAGAGATATGCCCCCATTGACTTCATCTGCTCCATAGGTGCTGGCACAGCAGAGAGCTGAACAGCAGCGACGGGAACTGGCACAGAATGCCAGCTCAGACACCCCCATGGACCCTGTGACCTTCATTCAGACTCTGCCCTCAGACCTACGTCGTAGTGTCCTAGAGGACATGGAGGACAGCGTGTTGGCTGTGATGCCACCTGACATCGCAGCCGAGGCTCAAGCCCTGAGACGAGAGCAGGAAGCTCGGCAGCGGCAGCTCATGCATGAGCGTCTGTTTGGGCACAGCAGCACCTCTGCACTCTCCGCCATTCTCCGAAGCCCAGGTACAGAGGGAGGCATGTGGGAGAGCACTAATATGTTCAGCTTTGCTCCCCTTTCTGTTAGCTAGCCCAGCTTACCAACCCATTCCTCAGACTCAGTTTCCTTTTTCTTTTTTTTTTCCAGCTTTCACCAGTCGTCTGAGTGGCAACCGTGGGGTCCAATATACTCGTCTTGCTGTGCAAAGCGGGGGGGGGGGGGCCCCCCAGCCATAACAGGTATCTTTGTCTGTCTGTTTTCACTGTATCGTGCCATCTCTGAAGCCTGTTAATCCAACTCTTTATTTTTTATTTATTTAAATTTTTTTAGAGAGAGAAATTTTTGCTATAGGGATTACGCACTCTCCGAAGAGACAGAAATTGAGAAATCACCCCCCAGGTGGATGGCCACACCGCAGTCCCTTCTCCATTCTCCTCTCAGGATTTTAGACACACATGCACACACACCTGGCATGAGGTTTAAGCCATCAAGTCCAGGACTTAATCTGTGGTCAGCTTACATGAGAGTCCAGCAATGTAATCATTACGCCACCTGCTGGTTCCAGTCCAACTCTCTTAATAAGTGGGAAAGCTAAAATCCTGAGATACGGACCAGGTGATCACTTGGAATGAATAGGAGAGCCATATTTTGGGGCTCCTCCTTCAGAAAGCCATACTTTTAAGTTGGTCACACCTTAAAGTTGATCTAGCTACCGAAAACCATCATCACAAACGCAGGCTGATAGCAGGTGCTAGCTATGGGTTTGTTTGCTTTTATTTATTTTTTAAGAGGTTTTTGCTATAGGGCGCATGTGCTCACCAGACAGACAGAGAAACAGAAAGTGAGAAATCACC